ATGTAAAAAAAATGAAACGTAAGGACGTTTTACGCAATAAGTGTTAAACGTAGGGACGTTTTGTGTTATTGAGCAAATATAAACATGTTTGAAACATAGGGACGTTTTCCGCATTAAGTGTCAAACGTAGGGACGTTTTGTGCTTAAGCCTTTTAATAAGACTTTTGGACTCACTTGCACTTTTTAAAAAGTTTGGGAGTATAATTACAATTTCTTTTTTATATTTCTTTTCATTTTATTTGTTTTATTTAAATTTGAGGGTATAATGGTCATTTTACACTGAAAAATAGTGAAAATGATGTTTTCCACACTGAAACGTTGAAATAGGGGCAAAAATGCAAAAAAATGAAACGTTGGGACGTTTTGCACACTAACTATCAAACGTAGGGACGTTTTGTGCTAATAAGCCTTTTTTTTAATTTCTAATCATTCTAAAATTTATTTGAAAAATAAAATAATACATACCAAAAATCGAAAATTATAAAATANACGTTTTATGCTAATAAGCCTTCTTCTAATTAGAAAAACGTTTAGAGAAAGTTAATCTAATATGACTTCCTCTAAAATCACTTTCAGAATAAGAATTTCTTTTATAAATTGTTTTAAAACAAAAATTAGAGTAGTTTAATCAAAAAACTCTTTTACAAGAAGCAAAATAAAAACAACATACAACATATATTAGACGTTAATTGAACCCTTCTACGAAACTTTTCAACTCTATAAAATGGACAAAGTGTTTAATGTAGTTTTACACAGCTCATAACACCTAAACTTCCCCAACTATAAATACAGACGTTTGAGACGAATTTAAAGAGGTGGTTTCATTGTGCTTTCATTGCATAACATATTCACATCATATTTTGAGAGATCTAATAGCATAATTCTTTGGTGAAAACAAACATGCTATTCTTGTGATCCGACTACCTGGTTTTGGAAAACATCAGAGGTTCTAATCCAAAACGTTTGTCTTCTTTAACACTTTGAGGAAGGGATTCAAGCGCAGGAAGAAAATGAATATGTGATTCTTGGGTATGCACTTCAAAGAGACGTGTGCAGAAGATCGTGAGACCTAGATAACATATCTTGGTAGAAGATTGTAAGTCTGTAAGTACAGTAGATCTTGAAAACTACATGAAGTAGATCATGAGGTCTAATAGGGTTGACTAGACAGTATCTACGGTAGCAGATCGTAAGATTGGAGAACAATAGATTTTGGAGTTGCAGGGTTTACAACAGCTAGGGGAACTAGATTGGAATTGAACTGTAACCCACATTGCCTATAGTGGAGGTAATGGCTTGGTCCCAGAGTTTTTACGTAGTTGAGTTTCTCCGTCATCAAATTTTGTGTTATTTATTGCTTTTCAAATATTACAACTGCGTTAATTCAATTTAGGGAAATTGGATTGTATGCTCAACCATCTATAAACTAATTAAAAGTGATTTCTAGGTTTAATTAGAGTAATTCCAAACGTAAGGTCAAACATAGTTAGTA